AACTACAGCAGTACAAACCGACTGTGGTGGTTTGTGGTATCACTACAGCAGTGCCTAGTGACTGTGGTGGAACCTGCTATCACAAAGGCAGTGCATACTGACAGTGGTGGTAGCGGCTATTACAAAAGCAGTGCATACTGTGGTGGTAGCTGCTATGATAACAGCAGTGCATACTGCGGTGGTACATGGTTTAACAACAGCATTGCATACTGAATGTGCTGGTACCTGGTATGATTACAGCAGTGCATACTGTGGTGGTACATGGTTTAACAACAGCAGTGCATGCTGAATGTGCTGGTACCTGGTATGATTACAGCAGTGCATACAGTGGTGGTACCTGCTTTCCCTGCAGCAGTGCATGTATACTGTGGTGTAAGCTATGATTACAGCAGGGCAAGCGACAGTGGTGGTACCCGCTATGAGTAGAGTAGTACATGCTGACTCTATAGCAGTATATATCGACTGTGCAGTAGTACATGCTTACTATATAGCAGTATTTATGGACTGTACAGTAGTACATGTTGACTGTATAGCAGTAGATATCGACTGTACAGCAGTACATGCCGACTGTATAGCAGTATTTATGGACTGTACAGTAGTACATGCTGTCTGTATAGCAGTATTAATAGTGACTCTATAGCAGTAGATATTTAGTGACTGTATAGCACAAAGTAGTCACGTGACAGAGTGCCGTGGTGTGGCCGTGAGCTCGACTGAACGCGCACCACGTGACAGGGTCCGCCCCCCCCCCACGCAATTGGCGTCAGTTGGTACGGTCTAGCTCGTGCAGTAAGTAAATAATTAAAATAAGAATGGCACTAAATCGCTAATTAAACTAATTTAAAGTTGACGGCTGGGAAAACGGAATAGCCTATACCAAGCAGGGGGCTCGGGGCGTGCCACCCGGCAATATTTTTCGGACTCGAACCCCACCGTTTGAGAGCCAAATTCCCCGCAAGCGCGCGCACGCGGAGACTTTTACATACAAGAAGAAGATCATCTAGATTGAAAGTCGCAATTTCTTGAGAACTGCTTTTTGTGTTTAGTTTATTGTCCTTCCCCCGCACCTCCAATTAGCGCTTACGTACGGTGCGAAAGAAGTTCAACATACATGCATACGTACAATCCACTGCTGGATGAATGCCCCCTCCCTTCCCCCCCCCCACCCTTCATCCAGCGGTATATTGTTAGACCCCCCCCCCCCTCCCAGCGATGTAACAATCCGCCGCTCCATCTCTGCGGAGGACGTTCCCCCGGACGCGTTCCCTCGCTTTTGGCTGCCGCCACCCGGTAGTTATTCCCGACCGCCGGCCCCGCCACCGTGGCTTCCGGTGTCCTTCCGGCGTCCTGCCGGCGGCACGGGTCACTACGACGTCCGATGGGAACGCAGGGAAAGGAGCGGGGGAGGGGGGGGAAATGCCGCGGGCGGGATTTGTTGCCGGCTGGGTGCCTACTAACGACGGACCGATGGTGGAACCCAATTTATATACGGCCGGGTGAACAGATGCAGCGGGGCGACCGATTTTTTTCATAATCAGAATAGGATCAGAATATTCATACTGGAGGAATCCGACGAGCTATAAAGCTCTTTTTATTTTTTTTCACGGATTTTTCCGGTAAGGGAGAGTTCACGACCGGACTCGCGTTTTGTCATGGCCACGCGCTTGCTGGGTTTCCTGCTCGGCGGTCATTGGGAAACGGGGATCGGTTAACTTTGGTGGCGCGCATTCGGTCCGCGGGGGCAACAGCGACGGTTAAAATTAGGCCGCAAAATATGTTTGAAGGCTGTAGCTTTGGCAGGCGGCGTGGTGCTCGGGCTAACCCGCGGGGTGCTACTTGCGCGCTCGGATTTGCCCGTGGGCTGGTCCCTCGCAGGTGGAGCAGCGGCGCAGCTCCACGAACCCCAAAAACGCGTTGGTCGCGCGGCCTCAAAAATGATGAGGTCGCCGTGTTCGTTGCGCGCAAAGCGCTTGGCACCGATGAGGAGCACAAGGAGACTAAAAACCTTGATCACGCAAACTCCGGTCGTCATCCTCGCAGCAGCGGCGGTTTTTGGCCGGCCATCGAACAAACGACGGTGGTCGCCGCATCGCGCGGCGCTTTTGGATGCGCTTCTGTGGCCGTCTGGAACGCTCTTCCCTTCCGATATTAGGACGCCACCAGGGAGCTACGTACTCTCATTGAATCTGGATTGACAAACTCATTACTTTAGAACTGCTTCTTTTGTTTTTAGTTTGTTGTCCTTCCCCCCCCCCCCCACCCGCACCTACGTACAGTGCGAAAGAAGTTCAACATACGTACATACAAAGTCGACCGCTGCCAGACCAGGGTGTGAACTCGCAACCTTCCAACTGCGAGCCGCCCGCCCGCCCACGCACGCTGCCACTGAACCGCTCGAATCCTTATCCCTAAAAATGTCAATTTCGTTCCCGATCGATTACATTCCTTCGACTGGTTCAACTTAAGCACGCAAGTTCTTGGCGTGGTTGGTTTTTGATTCTCTCTCTCTCTCTCTCTCCGCATTTGTCGTCGCGTTTTTTCTTCTTCTTCTTCTTCCCCTTTCGAGATTTCCAGGGAAAACAAAACGGAACCACCTGGAACAAGTAAAGGGTTAATGATTAAAATGGGGGCCCGCAGGTGTTGTAGGTGTACAGGGGTGGGTGGGGGGGGGGGTACCGTTTTATAGGCAAAGCACGCAGGGCGGGCGAGAGCAGTCTACCGGGCCGCCCGCTATGACCACCCGACGCGTCTGCGAATGCCACCTCCTATACGGTAACGCGCGAGCCGCGTACGTCCATGCGGTGCGCTGGTGGTGCGCTGGTGGTGCGCTGGTGGTGCGCTGGTGGTGCGCTGGTGGTGCGCTGGTGGTGCAGCGACGCGCGCGTGTTGCACGTGTTTTTTATCTGCGCGTGCACTTCGCACCGTACGTAGCCAAACGTGCCGATCGGAGGTGCGGGGGAGAAGCGCCACAAATTTGAGCGCCAAAAAAAAAAAAAGAAGAAGCGAGTTTTCCAGAATCGCGTGAAGCGGTTGGCGTAGCGGTGGGCACGCTCGCGGCCATGAACCCTCCCGACCCGAGTTTGATTCCGGGCCACGGCCAACATCGGCGGCGGGTGAAATCCGAACGCTGCGTCCTGGGGAACTGCCCTTCCCTAGGTCGACTCTGCCTCGAAGGCGTACCTGGCGGTACAGGTGCGTGACACATCGGCGCTCAGCGCTGGCCTGCACCGGTGCTCCGCTAACAGCACTGGGCCGCCCAACGGTTAGGGGAAAGGCTGCGCGAGCGATCCTGGCGCGTCGGTACGTTTTGTACAATGGACAAAAATAACCATTGGCAGTAATCAGCTGTTGGCGGTTTGTTTTGGATGGGTGGCCCCCCCACGCGCTTGTTCGCATTGTCCTGATGAAGCCTCTGTGGAGGTTTCCGGTTGCTGGGCTGCAGTCCCCGGGGGGCAGGGGGGGGCAGGGGGGGGTGGTTGAGGCGGTTGGCACCGTGGGGGGAGCGAGCGGTGAAGACCGAGTCGCTTCCTACGGCCGTCGGTTGGTCGTTGCCGCCGCGGATTTTGTGGTGACGCGGCGGGGAGAGAGGGGCGGCTCGCACGGTGGAAGGATACGAGTTCACAACCCGATTGGCAGCGTTGAGTCGGCCCCATCATCCCCTCCCTTCCGGTGTCCATAAAACGGGTACCACATTGTGGAGAAGTTAACGGCGGTTGCATGCGCATATTTTTTTTACTTTTGTTGCACCGTACGCAGGGAACCGTGCTAATCGGAGGGCCCTCTGGATGGACATGCCCCCACCATAGAAATGTGGAATTTCCACCGCTGGCTCGGTGCTGTCAACGGGATATGAGCACCGTCTTAATACTCATTTAGAGCAGATTATTATTTTGACTTTCGATTCTCTCTGTGTGCTAACGCGAGAGTGAAGTTAATCCACTTAATTCCATGTGAAGGTGCATCCATAATGCGTTTGCGATTAGCGTTAAGCATCTTAGCTGCGGGATTTGGGATTAACTCTGCTCTTGAGGTTTTTCGCCCTCGTTAATATTCTCACCAAAAAAAATCATAAATCTGATTTCTTTTATCCGGGAAAGCCTCGCCGACTTTCGGGATTCTTTGTCGGCAAGGGCCCAGCCACGTTGCGATGTTCGTCATGTTTTGCTTCTCGCTGGAGGAATGCCGATACAAAGGGGCGGTCCGCACACCGGACTTTTGATCCCCTGGTTCTCTGCTGCGTCTGTTCACCCAGCCGGGTAATCAATTGGGTTCGCCATCGGTTGGGCGTCGGTCGTGGTGGAGGTAAAGTGTGGGTGCGCCCGCCACTTCCGAGACGTGTGGCCGGCGTGGAAGAGTAGGCCAAATACCCTCTACGGGGGGGGCGAGGGGGGGGGGGGCTTTCTGGAGCTCCGTCTGGTGGAGGAACATGCGACTGAGGTGAGCCTGCGCTTGCAAGGTTGACACTCAAAGGTCAAACTCCCGACCACCGTGCAGCCGGTGCGATTGGGAATTTAACAAACCCGTGTGGTCCAGCAACCCCGGTTTCTAAAAGCGATGCACTGAAAACACGGCACACTGCTCAGCATTGGGTGCTGTGTGGCTGCTGCTGCTGCTGCCGCCACTCGCCAACTTTCACCTGTACGGGGGTTGAGTGTTACCTCCCCTCGCACGCGTGAGTTTTCTCCCGGGTACCCCTGTAAACTCCCACACGTGTAAACGGCTCGTGAACAGTGTTGGCCAATACACCCCAATATATATAAATATATATACGTAGGACCACAGAGCCGGGGCGATCTTTTGCTGCCTTTGCCGTTCTCCCCGCGGCAAACCGCGCCACGTTACGAACTCGACAGCGATTAGCGACGCCGTTTGCGTGAATAGCGCTTTGGCGTTCGAAAACATTCGAAAACGTTCGCTCACCGCTTCCTCCTGTGTCGTGTGCCCGTGCGCGCGCGCGCGTGTGTGTGTGTCTGTGTGTCTGTGTGTGTGTGTGACCGAAGGTGATGGCCAGGTGGACAACAGCCTCCTCAACAATGGCGACATGGAGCAGGCCAACTCCTACTACGACAAGAACATGGCCCTCTTCGAGGTGAGCGTCCCCTTCTTTCAGCGTGGGCACCAGGGTGGGCACCAGCGTGGGCACCAGCGTGGGTACCAGCGTGGGCATCGTGTGGGTACCTTGTGGGTACCGCGTGGGTACCTTGTGGGTACCGTGTGGCACCCATGTCGGCGCTCCCCCCCCCGCCCCCCGATTAATCCTGCCGGTGTAATAGCCATGACAATCTGCGCCCTCCGCTTCCCAGCGTACGTTCAGGATCTCCTGACGTCGTTGTGCGCAAGTGTCGCCCATTGTGTGCCAGGGGCGGGGTCCAAGAATAAAACCAATTGTGGTTGTACACGGCAGCAATCGCCATCGCCATCGCCGCCCGCCCGCCAAGGCCAAGGGACTAGTGCCCCCAGGCCCCCTCCCGCAAACGAGACTCTCTCCCCCGGGCCTCCTGGGTTCCCTCTCCCGGTGGAACGAACTCGGCGTGCGCGTTGTTGCGGAGCGCAGGAGGAGATGGACACGAGGCCCATGGTGTCGTCGCTCCTCAACCGTCTGGCGAACTACACGAACCTGCCGCAGGGCGCCCGCGAGCACGAGGAGGCCGAGAACATGGACAAGCGCAAGGCCATCAAGGTGATGCCGCACTTGGCCGCCCGTCCGGTGGGCCACACGCTGCCGGATGAGGGCCCCCCCCCTAGGCCCGCCCCCCCCCCCCCCTTTCCACCTGTCCCCCCACCACCACGCCACACAGGTAATTGCAAGGCTGCTCCTTTAGCTTTATGTGTCACTCTTCCGTCGCTATGACTACCGTGGTTCCTGTGAGCTTCAGCACAACACCCTCCACCCACCCACTCACCCACCCACCCACTCACCCACCCACCTACTCACCCACCCACTCACCCACCCACCCACTCACCCACCCACCTACTCACCCGCTAAACCCACTGCAGGTCACAGATAAAGATAAATATCCCCCATATAGCCTTAACATACTGTAGGGGCAAGTGCTGTTAGCGAGCACCTATGAAGGCCGGAACGGTACACGAGGGGGTGGGTGGCCAGCACCACGCCCGACCGCCTTTGTCTCCCTAGTGGCAATGTTTACACACCGCACCAGGTACTCATTTGAGGCCGAGTCGACCTAGGGGAGGCCCGGGACCGGTTCAGATAATCGTCACTGGTGTTGGCCGTGAGCGGGGAATCGAACCCGGGTCGCCAGGTTCCGCTACACTATCGCTCCCCACAGGTCACAACACCCTCACCCACCCACACACTCACCCACACACTCGCTCACTAACCCACCTAGTCACCCACTCACACACTCACACACTGCATGTCACAGCACACTCACCCACGCACTTCACCCACCCACTCGCCACACTGCACGTCAAAACAGTTCTCTTTCCGCGTCTTCCCTCGCACTGCACCGCTTCATAATTCCTTCCAATCTTCTCTTAACCTTGGTAAAAGACAAAATCACACTTTACAGATACAACTATGGGACGGAGGCATAGTGTAATCTTTTTTTTTTATTTCTCCACAACCAAGCTTCATGATGACGACGCCGTGTTCCGTCACATTGTCCGCTGGTGCACCGCCCCCCCGTGCCCAGCGGGCTGAACCCCGCTTAGCTCGCGGCGAACCCGACGAGATGGGGCGCGTGCCTGGCTGTCGCGTCGGCCGCCGCCAGGGAACCGTTCGCGAGCGCTCCTCCCACCCCACCCCACCCCTCATGCCTTGACACCGCCGCCCCCCCCCCCCCTCTTCTCCTTTCCCCACAGGCCCCCAAGATGGGCACCTTCATGGGCGTCTACCTGCCGTGCCTGCAGAACATCTTTGGCGTGATCCTCTTCCTGCGCCTCACCTGGGTGGTGGGCACCGCCGGCGTCCTGGAGGCCTTCGCCATCGTCCTGCTGTGCTGCTGCTGCGTGAGCGCCGCCGCCGCCACCGCCGTCACTCTCAATAATTTCCGGATTTTATTTTTCTGCCGTATATTTCCGCACGATAAGCCACTTTGTTGTTGAGCTGTCGTTAGTGGCCGGGTCGTTGCTGGGAAAATTAAGTTAGTGCCGCGGTGCGCTTTACCTGCTAAGATAAAAAAAATATTTTATTTTGTATATTTTTAAGCGATTTGTTTACCTTTTCGATACTTTGCACTCCTGTCGTGTGTTTTTTTGTATCGTTTGTTGTTGTAACGTTCCGACCCCTACTGGACACCTGTTTAAAAAGAGCTTCATAGCTCATCGGATTCCTCCGGTATAACTAAAGATGCTGATTTTGAATAACGATGGGCGAAAAAAACGAGACACGGTGTGTGCACGTGGGTTCTCTTAACCGCTGTTCACCAGCGGTTACGCACGTACGCCGAATTTCTCTCGCAGCGGCGCGTGTGCGCGTTTGCGTAGCCAGCCGCGTCAATCGGAGGTGCGGATTGGGCGCTGCTCCCGGTCGTGTGCCGAGGTGCGTTCGAACCCGTGGCCCGGCTAAGCGGTAGGTCAAGCGCTCTGACCGCGAGCGGTGAGCCGATGGCAATGACTCCGATCCTCTGCCCCCCGCAGACGATGCTCACGGCCATCTCCATGAGCGCCATCGCGACCAACGGAGTCGTACCAGGTAAGCTCGCGCCCGGGGCCTTTTCCCTGACTCGGCGGTGGTGCGCTTCTCGCTCCCAACGCTCCATGATACATCCGGCTCTGGCTTGGCCCCGGGGGGCAAGAGGGGGATGATTTTTGGGCAAAAGGATTCGACGGATTTTTTTTTGTTTGTCACAAACGCGTTTGGTAGGTTTGCGGGATATATTTCTCGCGCGTCTATGCGCGTTCGCAAAAGCGGGCGTCTGCGCCACCGATTTTGCCGTGTGACGTGAAAGAAAGTAATAAATATATATGTTGCCGGGGAGTGGGGGGGGTGGGAAACGCCGAGACACAATGGCGGCGGCGGCGTTTCGCCCGTCCTCGGCGGCGGTCGTTCGATTTTCATCTCCCGGTTGAGAACCGATGGAGGCCGACTGACCGCCGCTCGCCGCTCGCCCCGCAGCCGGCGGCTCGTACTACATGATCTCGCGGGCGCTGGGCCCCGAGTTTGGCGGTGCCGTGGGCCTCTGTTTCTACCTGGGCACCACCTTCGCCGCCGCCATGTACATCCTGGGTGCCGTCGAGATCCTGCTGGTGAGGTGGACGCGCTCCCCCCTCTCCCCCCCTCTCCCCCCCCGCCCTGCCCCCCAGCCCCCCACCTCGCGCGCCCCCACCGGTCTGGCCACCGTCTTGCTCCCTGTAGCTCCCCGCGTGCCCAACGCGCCTGCAAAGGAAACCGATTCGCTTCGCCGGCGCTCCAACGTTGGAAGAGCGTTCCAGACGGCCGCAGAATCGCATCTGAAAGCTCGCGACGCGGTTGCGTATTTGCTCGATGGCTGAGCCACAAGCCGCCGCTGCGAGGATGACCGGGAGAGTTTGCGTGACGATGGTTCACGCTGCTTGACGGGATGAGCGAGGTCATTGTGGTCCATTTGTAGCAAAAGCACTTTGTGTGTAATGAAGCCATTGCAGCTCGGTGAATGTACGTATGTATATATATATGAAACTAAACGATTGTTATTTTTTGTAAGGTAAGGTCTCACTGAGCTATGCAGCCACAAATGATAGCGCAACAAAGTGGCTCATCACGTGGAAATGTATAGCAGCCAAATACTCTAAACACACGTTTCTAAATGTGGAGGGAAAGACTGGAGGACGCAGAGAAAATCTACACAAACATGCAAACTCCAAATATGCAGGCGTCAGGGTTGGGATGTAACCCACGACCTCCTGTATACCGGGTGAGGTAGTTAACATCTCGCCACCGTGGCAGCCAGGGCTTGCACTGTACGTAGCCAACCTTGCCGATCGTAGGTGTGGGGGGGAAGGACATCTTCACGATTCCCAGGATGCATTGCATCTGACGACGCGACGTGTTTGATTCGTGGGAAGCTGCAGCCCATGGGCCAGGCGTAGTTACTCTGCACCCTTCCCCCTCCACCACCGCCCTCGCCCCCGACCCACAGTCGTACATCGCCCCGGCGGCGGCGATCTTCAGGGGCGACTCGCCGGCGGACATGCTGAACAACATGCGCGTGTACGGCACGTGCTTCCTCACCTTCATGGCGCTCGTCGTCTTCGTGGGGGTCAAGTACGTCAACAAGTTCGCCATGGTGTTCCTCGCCTGCGTCATCATCTCCATCTTCTCCATCTACGCCGGCGTCATCAAGTCGGCCTTCGCGCCACCAGACTTCCCGTGAGTGGCGGTCGCGAGCGGTCGGCGGCGACGGCGGCGACGGCTCGCTCGTAGCAGCAATCCGCGCCGCCGCCGAGCGTGACGGGGCTGGGCGCGACCGGGTCCGACAGCTAGACCCTGAGGTTGCTCTCCGGCCTTGGCCGACAAACGACGGTCACCCGCGCATTCGTACCGATTGTCACATCTGCCGCTCGCTCCCCCCACCCCACCCCGACCACGCTCGCAGGGTGTGCATGCTGGGCAACCGCGCACTATCGCAGCGCACGTTCCACACGTGCGCCAAGACGGTGGAGGGCCCCAACGGCACGGAGACCACCGACCTGTGGGCGCTGTTCTGCGACTCTCCGCTGCTCAACGCCACGTGCGACAAGTTCTTCGAGCTCAACAACGTCTCCGAGATCGCCGGCATTCCCGGCGCGGCCAGCGGCATCATCAAAGGTGCCGCGGCGGCAGCGGCGGCGGCGGCGGCGGTGGGAGGGGGCGACGGATAAATCTGCGATGCGGGAGCTGCGGGAGCCGCGCGACCCGCGTTCGCTCGGTATAGCTGGCGCGCTTGGCTGTCGTTGCAGACAACCTGTACCACAGGTACCAGCAGAAGGGGGAGCTGCTGGAGAAGAAGTCGGAGCACGACGCGGTGGAGACGTTGCCGCCCGGCGACAACCACCCCTACATCTCCGCCGACATCGCCACCTCCTTCATGTTGCTCGTCGGCATCTTCTTCCCGTCTGTCACCGGTGAGCGGGAGCGGTGGGGGTCGGGGTGGGGGTTTGGGGTTAGCGTTCGTGATCTGAGTGGGGGTCGGCGGTGGGTGTTGTCTGCAGGTGAAGGTCTTCTTAGGGGGCAGTTGAAGTGATGTTTCGGGAAGGGCTGGGACTTGTTGTCAAACAAAACCGGAGAGCGCGAGGTGACGACGGGCAGAGCGCGTGGCAGGCCGGCCGGCACTGGGCTCGCCCATCGCCCATATTTTGCCACCCGCTGTCTCTCTCGCTTCCGGATAATTAATTGTCAAAAAACGAAGAAACGATTTAATGATTCAAAGTAACGAAGGTAATATTTCGAAGAAGAAAAAAAAACATCTCGTTATTGTGGCAATGAATGTAACAACGAAGAGACCAGAGTGCAAGGGGCGTGTGTTGGACCAACGCGCCCACGGGCGCGGGTTGACGGGACGGGGGGAGGCCTTCATCCAGCCGTGGATAGATCGTGGCCGAGGATCCCGATGATGATGATGATGATGACATTTTATTGCTTTTGATCATTTTTTTTTTCTTTTAATTTCAGGCATCATGGCCGGCTCCAACCGATCGGGAGATTTGAAAGACGGCCAGAAATCCATTCCCGTGGGGACCATCTGTGCCATTGCGACCACCTCCTTCGTGTGTATCCTTGCCCAGCGCGCAGCCGTAGCCGTGTGCACTTTGTGTGTACACGCGCGTGTGCGTTAGTACGTGTGGAGAGTGGTGGCATAGCGGTAAGCGCACTGCGCTACGAACCCGGCGAGCCGAGTTTGATTCCCGCTGACGACCAACAACGGTGGCGATTAATTTGAACCGGTCCTGGGCCTTCCCTAGGTCGACTCGGCCTCAATGAGTACCTGGTTCGGTGTGTAAACATCGCCACTAGGGAGACAAAGGCGGTCGGGCGTGGTGCGGGCCACCCCACCCACCCCCTCGTGTGCCGTGCCGGCCTTCAAAGGTGCACGCTAACAGCACTTGCCCCTACAGTTTTGAGGCTATGCGGGTCTTCTTTGTTTTTCCACTTCCAAACCCGAGCCGTGCCTCCGACGTCGCGCGCAACGTACGAGTTGAGTCGGGGGGGGGACGTGTGATGAAAGCGATGACCCCTGGCCCTGCTTGGCCCAGAGGTCAGATTCCGAAATCTCGTGAGGCCAGAGTTTTTTTTGTGGTTTGCATCTGGCTCTGCTCAGGAAATAGTGGGAAATGACAGGGGTGCATTTGTCAGTCAACCCATAACACCTGGGTCTGTCCCGTGACCTCCTGCCCAGTGAGCCTCCCACACTTAACGTGGCTTCGACGTGCACCTTAGCCTGGCGCGAGCAACCGTGGCCACGCTCACCGCAACTTGGTGGCGAACGGCGGCCGTTGTGAATAATCAACACTCGCGACAAGTGAGCCGAGCTACGGGGCGATTAACGGGCACAGAGGTGGCGCCGTGGGTAGTGCAGGAGGTGCCACCGGCTGGTCTTGCTGCCCCCCGCTCCATCAATCGTCGCCGTCAGCCGTCGGCGATCATCGAAAGTTGTCAATCATCATCAATCCCCGTCTACGCCAATCGTCGTCACCATCGATCTTCCTCATTCTCATCAACGACTGACATTCTTGTAGGATCGGCAAAGCGCGAGCAACGCCCTGTCCCGGTGCTGCCGCCCGTGACGCTGCGGCGGCGAGGTTTGTGTGCGGGTCCACGTGCGCCCGCTGTCGCTTGTTCCTTGACGTGCCGGATCGCCAAGACCTCACGTGCGTCGTGCTGTTCGGGGCCTGTGTGGAGGGCCTGGTGCTCCGCGACAAGTGAGTGCCGAGCGGTTCGTGGTGGTGGTGGTGGTGGTGATGGTGGTGTGGGGAGCGGTAGTGTGGCGGTTGGCACACTTCGCTACGAAACCGATTCCCGTTCGTGGTCAACATCGGTGAGGAATATCTGAACCGGTGCTGGGCCACCCCTAGGTCAACTAGGCCTCAAATGAAAACCTGGTGCGGTGTGTAAACATCGCCACTGGGGGAGACAAAGGCGGCCGAGCGTGGTGTTGCCCACCCATCCCCTCGTGTGTTTCGTGCCGGCCTTCATAGGTGCTTGCTAACAGCACTTGCCCCAACAGTCTGTTTATGCTATACGGGGGATCTTTGTTGTTTTTGGTAATGTGGCGGTCGGGGTGATGATGGTGGCAGTATAGCGGTGCTTATGGCGGTGGTGGGCGGTGGTGATGATCGTGGTGGGTGGTGGTGATGATCGTGGTGGCCGTGGCCATGTTAGTGACGATGCGCGTGGGTGTGGATGTGGCGCAGGTTTGGCGCGGCGGTGCACGGGAACCTGGTGGTGGGCACGCTGTCGTGGCCCTCGCCGTGGGTCATCGTCATCGGCTCATTCTTTTCCACGTGCGGCGCCGGCCTCCAGAGCCTGACGGGCGCGCCGCGCCTCCTGCAGGCCATCGCCAAGGACAACATCATCCCCTTCTTGCGGGTACGCGCTGGCGTCCCATCCGCCATGACACGTACCCCTAGCGACCATTAGCGACCCCTAGCAACGACCCCTAGCGACCCCTAGCGGATCCCTACGGATGGCGCGCGCCAGCTCGCGACGGTGATGGCGCCCCGCCTGGTGGTAGGCCATCGCCAACGACAAAACGGGGGCGGTGACGCGGCTTCCAGCGGCGGCTCGTTCGTGGTTCGAATCCATCGGCCGCCCTGGTTAACGCTGCGGCAGCGCACGAACCGTAACAATGCTACCCCGACTACGGCACGCCGTTCCGCTTCGCGGCGGGCGTGTAAGATCCCCACAGTGCCGTTGGCGAGAGGAAGAAGGCCGTTGCCCGCCGGCACGGAGCGACCGTCGTCCCCGTATCGGGAGAGTAATGCCCAAGACGCGGGCCAGGTGATGAGTCGGTCAACCTTGTGCCCACAGGGACGGCTGCCGCTGGGGGGTGCCCTGCTTCTTTTGAAATGTGTTGAGATGGGACGTGAGATGTAAAGTGTGCACCCGGGACGCCCCGGCGCAGAGGATGCCGGCGGCAGCAGCTCTGTCGGGAAAAAAAAACCGAACAAGAATCGGAATCTTAATTTATCCTGGAGAAAGCTGATGAGCTCCGAAGCTCTTTTCCACAGACGCCCAGTGACTTATCGCGATCCTCACCTCTCCGTCGCACACACCGCGTCACCTGCGCCGCCACCCCCTCCCCCCCCCACCAGGTGTTTGGCCACGGCAAGGCGAACGGCGAGCCCACGTGGGCGTTGCTGCTCACGGCCGGGATCGCCGAGCTCGGCATCCTCATCGCGTCGCTCGACATGGTGGCACCCATCCTGTCCATGTGAGCATCACCGCCGCCACCCCCCCACCCCCCACTATCACGATGATGGCGATGATGGTGACGATGATGACGATGACGTGATTCGCAACAAAAGCGATTTCCTGCTCAAGTGAGCGTTGAGGCGTTGGTGCTCATCTCTCATCGACAGCCCTGAGCCAGTGGTGGAAATTCCACATTGGTGTGGCCGGGGGGTGCGGGGGGGGGGGGGGGGCGAATGTATCCGTGGAATTCAGGCGCCGTTGAATTCTGCACAAAGTGGTGCCTCGTTAGTTTCGTTGGTTGTGGTAAACAACCGAACTTGATGGGCCGTGTCAACCTCCCAACCGGGAGCTGAAGTCGCATCCTTATGATGATGAACCGCTGGCACAACCGCCAATGGCGGTGACGGTGATGGTGACGATGACGGTGATGGTGACAATGACGGCGACGGTCACGGTGACGGCGACGGTCACGGTGACGGCGACGGTCACGGTGACGGTGACGGTCACGGTGACGGTCACCGTGACGACGCAGTGTGACGTTGTGCCACGGTGGCAGGATGACGGCGCGGTGATGGCTCGTCCGCGTGCACACCCCAGGTTCTTCCTCATGTGCTACATGTTCGTGAACCTCGCCTGCGCCTTGCAGACGCTGCTGCGAACGCCCAACTGGCGCCCACGCTTCAAGTTCTACCACTGGTGAGCAGCGACCGCCCTCGCCACACGCCGGCCGCCACGCCGAGCTCACCACACGCGTCACCACGCTGGCCACCGCCCTCGCCACACCGCCCTCGCCACACCGCCCTCACCGACCTTTCCACCGCGCTCACCCTGCTCGCCACGCTCGCCACAATCGCCGCGCTCAAAGGCGGCCGGGCGTGGCGCCGGCCACCCCCGACAACGCCGCCTCGTGGGCTCGCACGTCGGCACAGCGGTCGGCCATATTTCTGTTAGTCGCTTGGCGTAATCGCAACTGCGGCCGTGATCGGTCATCACCGAGCCGACTCGCCCTCCGGGGAATTCATTACGCAACACCGATTTGTGGACTTCCCATTTGACGCGGTTGCTGTTTGCTCCGATTTCTCTCTTTTGTTTTTGTTTTACTTTTGCCATTTTGGTGACGCGGGACACCTCTCGCAAATGAGGCTGCATCCTGGCCTCTCTCGAGTTCTCCCCCGCCCTTGGTAGAACAAAATCAACTTGAAGCCGCTCACACCCCTCCCCCCACCCGCGCTACGTGCACTGCGCTGCCCTTCGTGGGCGCTTGCCAACGGCACTGCCCCGACGGTTTACGTAGGGGGTGTCTTTACACTCGCGGTGCGTGTGTACCCCTGCGTGTGTGTGTGTGTCCCTGCGTGTGTGTGTGTCCCTGCGTGCGCGCGTGCGTGTGTGCATGTGTGTGTCCGTGCGTGTGTGCGTGTGTTTGTGCGTGTGTGCGTGTGTGTGCGTGGGTGCGTGTGTGCGCGTGTGTGCGTGCGTGTGTGCGTGCGTGTGTGCGTGTGTCCCTGCGTGCGTGTGTGCGTGCGTGTGTGTGCGCGTGTGTGTGTCCCTGCGTGCGTGCGCGTGTGTGTGTCCGTGCGTGCGTGTGTGCGCGTGCGTGTGTGCGTGCGCGTGTGTGCGTGCGTGTGTGCGTGCGTGTGTGCGTGCGTGTGTGTGCGCGTGTGTGTGTCCCTGCGTGCGTGCGCGTGTGTGCGTGTTTCCCTGCGTGCGTGTGTGCGTGCGTGTGTGTGTGTCCCTGCGTCCGTGCGTGTGTGTGTGCGTGTGTCCCTGCGTGTGTGTGCGTGCAGGACGCTGTCGTTCCTGGGCATGAGCATCTGCCTGGCGCTCATGTTCATCTCGTCGTGGTACTACGCCATCGTCGCCATGCTCATCGCCGTGATGATCTACAAGTACATCGAGTACCGCGGGTGAGCGCGGCCGCCGTAACCCCTAGGCCCCACGGTGCTCACCCCCACAGTGCGTCTCACACCCCGCAGACTGGAGGCTTCGCTCAGTCCGGAGAGGCAGCCAATCTTGGGTCTCTGTCTGGGTCTATGGGTCTCTGTGTGGGTCTATGGGTCTCTTTGTCGGTCTATGGGTCTCTGTGTGAGTTTACGGGTCTCTGTGTGAGTCTACGGGTCTCTTTGTGAGTCTGGGTCTCTCTGTGAATCTATGGGTCTCTGATGTGGGTCTACGGGTCTCTGTGTGGGTCTACGGGTCTCTGTGTGGGTCTACGGGTCTCTGTGTGGGTCTACGGGTCTCTGTGTGGGTCTACGGGTCTCTGTGTGGGTCTACGGGTCTCTGTGTGGGTCTATGGGTTTCTGTGTGGGTCTGTGGGTCTCTGAGTGGGTCTGAGAGTTTCTGTGTGAGTCTACGGGTCTCTGAGTGAGTCTATGGGTCTCTGTGTGAGTCTATGGGTCTCTGTGTGAGTCTATGGGTCTCTGTGTGGGTCTACGGGTCTCTGTGTGGGTCTACAGGTCTCTGTGTGGGTCTACGGGTCTCTGTGTGAGTCTATGGGTCTCTGTGTGAGTCTATGGGTCTCTGTGTGAGTCTATGGGTCTCTGTGTGAGTCTATGGGTCTCTGTGTGGGTCTACGGGTCTCTGTGTGGGTCTACGGGTCTCTGTGTGGGTCTACGGGTCTCTGTGTGAGTCTATGGGTCTCTGTGTGAGTCTATGGGTCTCTGTGTGGGTCTATGGGTCTTTGTGTGAGTCTACGGGTCTCTGAGTGGGTCTATGGGTCTCTGTGTGAGTCTATGGGTCTCTGTGTGAGTCTATGGGTCTCTGTGTGAGTCTATGGGTCTCTGTGTGGGTCTATGGGTCTCTGTGTGAGTCTACGGGTCTCTGAGTGGGTCTACGGGTCTCTGTGTGAGTCTATGGGTCTCTGTGTGGGTCTACGGGTCTCTATATAGTGCCAGGCGTCGCCGTGTGAGCCCATGCAATACAATTGATTGCCATAGCACCAGAGTGCACCCGCACGGGGTGTCCGCGTTGCACCCACTGCCCTCGCGAGTTCTCCCTCTCTCCGTCCCTGTGGTGGTTCCCTGCTCTGTGACCCTCTTAAAGCCTGTGCCCGTGTGTCCGTGTCTCCATGCGTCTGTGTGCCTCTGTGTCTGTCTGCGTCTGTGTCTTTGTCTTCATCTTGTCGTCCGGCAGGGCGGAGAAGGAGTGGGGGGACGGGATCCGGGGGTTGTCGCTGAGCGCCGCGCGCTTCGCTCTGCTGCGCCTTGAGGAGGGGCCCCCACACACCAAGAACTGGAGGTGGCACAGCGCCTCACCCAACGCCGCCACCCTCGTCATCGTGATTGTCGCCGCCATCGTCGCCATCGTCACCGCCATCGTCATCGTGATTATTGTCGCCGCCATCGTCGCCATCGCCGCCCCCTACCATCGTCACCGCCATCATCGCCGCCACCATCGTCATCGTGATTGTCGCCCACCGCCGCCATCGCCGCCCCCTACCATCGTCACCGCCACCGTCGCCGCCACCGTCGTCAACGTCATCATCAGCGTCACCTTCAACGTCACCATGACCGAGCGCAGAATCAGAATCTTTATGCGTCCTGGAGAAATCCGATGAGCTGTGAAGCTCCTTCTCACAGATGTCCAGTGGGGGGGGGCGGGTGAGGGCGCGGCCGCTGCCGCCGGCTCCGGCCGTGGTGTCCCGGGTCCACCGGCCGGGCCCGGCGCCCGCTGAGCCTGCGCACGTGTCCCCGCAGGCCCCAGCTGCTGGTGCTGCTCAAGCTGGACGAGGACCTGAACGTGAAGAACCCGCGCCTGCTCACCTTTGCGTCGCAGCTCAAGGCCGGCAAGGGCCTCACCATCGTGGGCTCCGTCATCGAGGGCAGTGTCCTCGAGACGTGCGGCGAGGGGCAGACCGCCGAGCACGTGAGGGCACCCTCGCCCCACCGCTCGTCACCGCTCGCCAACGCTCCCCCACCACTCGCTACTCCTCCTGCTGACCATACTCTTCCGCCCCCGCGCCGCCTGCCACCGTCCCCACCGCTCGGCCACCCTCGCCACCCTTTCCACCGCTCCCCCACCACTCCCCACCACTACCCCTCACTTCCCACCCTCCCCACCACTCGCAAACCCTCGCCACCGCTCCCCACCACTCCCCCACCACTCCCCACTGCTCGCCACCGCTCGGCCACCGCTCGCCACCACTCTTCCTCCTCCTCTTATCTCCATACTCTTCCTCTCAATCCTCTTTCTCCCTCTGTCCTCCTCCCTCTTCGTCTCGTCTTTATCTTTGTCCTCTTCCTCCTCCCACCTCGTCCTATGCTCCCTCCCTCCCTCCCTCCCTCCCTCCCTCCCTCCCTCCCTCCCTCCCTCCCTCCCTCCCTCCCTCCCTCCCTCCCTCCCTCCCTCCCTCCCTCCCTCCCTCCCTCCCTCCCTCCCTCCCTCCCTCCCTCCCTCCCGTGGGAAACCGCGTACGGCCAAAACACACGATCGGTAAAACCGTGTTCGGCGAGGTTTTCCTGTCGTCGCCACCGCTATCGTCATCGTCATCGTCACCGCTGGTGCCGTTGCTGCCGCTCCGCAGACGATCAAGCGGATGATGGACATCGAGAAGGTGAAGGGCTTCTGCCAGGTGGTGGTCTCCTCCAAGGTGCGCGACGGCATCTGCCACCTCGTGCAGTCGAGCGGCCTCGGCGGCCTGCGGCCCAACGCCGTCGTCATGGGGTGGCCCTTTGGCTGGCGGCAGAACGAGGACTCGCGCACGTGGAAGACCTTCATCGGTACGTGCGCGTGTGTGTACGTGTGTGTGTGCGTGTGTGTGCGTGCGTGTGTGCGTGTGTGCGCGTCGGTTTAACACGTAGGCTTTCGCAACCAATATCATCCATAACGCGGGTCTTTTTTTTTTTTTGGGGGGGGGTTCGATCGCGTGAATGCTTCGTTAAACCGTTGTGTCGGCGCGTGCGCGGCGCGCAGAGACGGTGCGCATCACCACGGCGGCCCACCACGCGCTGCTCGTGGCCAAGAACATCGCGCTCTTCCCCGGCAACCAGGAGCGCTTCGCCGACGGCAGCATCGACATCTGGTGGATCGTGCACGACGGGGGCATGCTCATGCTGCTGCCCTTCCTGCTGCGACACCACAAGGTGTGGTGGCGGCAGCGGCGGCGGCGGCGGCGGCGGTTGCGGCGGTGTTATCCGATTTGTCGAGTGATGGGACCGCCGATTATCCGTCTGAGTAACGGATTGCCGGAGCGATCGGCCGTGCCCCTGCTCTGCACGGCCGTCTGTGGCACTCTGCTCGCACTTGAGCCGGGCGGTCCACAACACCCAAGCAATCGGTTGCATGCGACCGTGAAATGGGACGTCCCTGCAACTGGCTGCTCGCAGTGAAGAGAGGCGCAGCCGATGGCACGGGTGGTGGACTCGGTTGCGAGATCCGGTCACACCAGGGCGCTGTATACATCTACGCACGGGTTATCGCGGTCACTGTCGTAGCAGTAGTAGTAGTAGTAATAATAATTCGTAACACATTTTCTGGGGCTCGGCATAATTCTGTGAGCAAATCTGCGTCGTTAGGAACCCTCCTCCAGGGGGAAACAGCCACGTGTATACTAATCGTTTGCTAAGCGTATACTAATATACTAAGCGTATGCTAATCGTGTACTCCGCGTGTACTCAGCGTATACTAATCGTATACTAATATGCTAATCGTGTACTAAGCGTATTCTAATCGTGTACTAAACGTTTCCTTCTCGCGCGCAACGGTGTCATTTCAGTGTGGAGGGTTGCTTTGTACACTCCGTATGTTGAACTTCTTTGGACACTGTACGTAGCTAATCTGATGTACGGGGGGGGGCGAAGGATGGCAAGCTCAACTGGCGTGGCACAACCCCTAACGATCGACGGCGAGGATCGGTGCCTCTACCCTGCCCCCCCCCCCCAAGCCCCCCCCCAAGCCCCACCTCACCACCCTCTCCCGCCCCTCGCGCGCACCGCAGGTGTGGAAGAAGTGCCGCATGAGAATCTTCACGGTGGCCCAGCTGGAGGACAACAGCATCCAGATGAAGAAGGACCTGGCCACCTTCCTCTACCACCTGCGCTTCGACGCCGAGATCGAGGTCGTCGAGCTGGTGAGAGTCGACCCCCCGGGCCGGGCCTCGCTCCTCGCTCCTCGCTCCCCGCTCCTCGCTCCCCGCTCCCCGCTCCCCGCTCCTCGCTCCCCGCTCCCCGCTCCCCGCTCCCCGCTCCCCGCTCCTCGCTCCCCGCTCCCCGCTCGCCGCTCCCCGCTCCTCGCTCCCCGCTCGCCGCTCCCCGCTCCCCGCTCCCCGCTCCCCGCTCCCCGCTCCCCGCTCCCCGCTCCTCGCTCCCCGCTCCCCGCTCCCCGCTCCCCGCTCCCCGCTCCTCGCTCCCCGCTCCCCGCTCCCCGCTCCCCGCTCCTCGCTCCTCGCTCCTCGCTCCCCGCTCCTCGCTCCCCGCTCCCCGCTCCCCGCTCCCCGCTCCCCGCTCCTCGCTCCCCGCTCCCCGCTCCTCGCTCCCCGCTCCCCGCTCCCCGCTCCCCGCTCGCCGCCCACCGCGAGCCGCCCAACGTGCCCGTTTCGCCGCCTGCTCCGCGGAATTGAGCCGGGGGTGGTAGGGGGCGTGGGGGGGTGGGGGGGTGGGGGGGGTGGGGTAGGTGGAGGTCCTGGAAAAAGCTGACAACCCACGGGTGGTGGTGGTGGTGGTAGTACGGTCGCCCCTCCATTGTCCCGCGTCTGCAGTCGACCCTTTAGCGGGGGGCCGCGTTGCCCCCCTCAAGCGAAACGAAATCTCGGGGGGGCGGAGGGGGCAGCAGCAGCCGCCACCCTCCCCCTGGGTGTCCGTCGAGGGGCGAGAGAGCTTCTCATTCTCGGTGGGTCTTACCCGAAATAAAGCAGCCGACCGACTCGCTACTCTCGAAGCCGGTGCAGTCGGCCGTGGCTTGGGCGGCTGAATCCTGGATTCGAACCCAGGATCTCGGCCGGTGTCGGCTGTGCTGCCTCTGGCCTCCGAGCCTTTTTTAATCGCTTGAAAACAATTGTGGATGAAACTAAAAAAAAGAAAAGTTACTGACGCGCTGGGCTTGTGGTGCGCAGAACGACAGTGACATCTCGGCCTACACTTACGAGCGGACCCTGATGATGGAGCAGAGGACGCAGATGCTGCACCAGATGAGGCTGTCAAAGTCTGAGAGGCAGCGAGAGGTGAGCAGACTTCGCCACCATTCACTCATTCATCCATTCACTCTTCCATCCATTCATTCTTCCATCCATTCACTAATTCATCCATTCACTCTTCCATTCACTCTTCCAACCATTCACTCTTTCATCCATTCACTCATTCATCCATTCACTCTTCCATCCATTCACTCTTCCATCCATTCACTCTTCCATCCATTCACTCTTCCATCCATTCTCTCATTCATCTATTCTCTCATTCATCCATTCACTCATTCATCCATTCACTCTTCCATTCACTCTTCCATCCATTCAGTCTTCCATCCATTCACTCATCCATCCATTCACTCATTCATCCATTCACTCATTCATCTATTCACTCTTGCATCCATACATTCCTCCATCCAGCCATTCACAGTCATTCTCTCTGCCACTCTCACACACTTAAGACACTCCCTCTCAACCCCACAGACGCAGGCACGTGTGTATGCGCGTGCTGCTCAGGCGCACCCGCCCTCTCGCTCGCACATTCTCACACTCGCTCATACACCACGCCCTCCCTCGCCCACGCCCTCCCTCGCCCACGCCCTCCCTCGCCCACGCCCTCCCTCGCCCACGCCCTCCCTCGCCCACGCCCTCCCTCGCCCACGCCCTCCCTCGCCCACGCCCTCCCTCGCCCACGCCCTCCCTCGCCCACGCGCGCACGCGCGGTGCGTGCGCGTAGGGAGCGGTGGCGCAGTGGCTAACGCGCTGCGCCACGAACCCGGAAAATATTCGAGTTCAATTCCCGCTCCGAACCGGTCCTGCGTCTCTCCTAGGTCGACTCGGCCGTAAATGAGCCCCTGGTGCAGTGTGTACGCATCGCCACTCGGGAGAGCAAAGTTCGCTCGGTGTGGCGCTGGCCACCCACAGCCCCACCCTCTCGTGCGCCGTGCCGGCCTTCAAAAGGCGTCGCTCGCTCACAGCACTTGCCCCAACGGTCTGTTCGGGCTACACGGGGGACGGCACTTTTATCTTTTGCCTTAAAACTTTTTTTTATTTTACCAGGTAAGGCCCCACCGAGCTACGTAGCTATTTTTTCGAAGCGACCTGGCCACAAATGATAGCTCAACGAGAAGTGGCTCGTCGTGTGGAAGTGGATAGCAGCCGAATACTCTAAACGCGCGATGTTGATTCTAAATGTGGAGGGAAAAACCGGAGGACCCGGAGAAAAATCCACGCGACCACGGGGAGAGAGGGACACCGCAAACTCAAAATATACAGCAGCAGGCATCGGGGTTGGGATCGAACCCACGACCTCCTGCGTACCAGGCGAGGGAGTTAACATCTCCTAGCCACCGTGATGATGATGAGAGAGAGACGCAAACTCCAAATATACAGCAGCAGCAGGCGTCAGGGTTGGGATCGAACCCACGACCTCCTGCGTACCAGGCGAGGAAGTTAACATCTCCTAGCCACCGTGATGATGATGAGAGAGAGACACCGCAAACTCCAAATATACAGCAGCAGCAGGCGTCGGGGGTTGGGATCGAACCCACGACCTCCTGCGTACCAGGCGAGGGAGTTAACGTCTCCTCGCCACCGCTCAGGCCCAGATGGTGAAGGACCGCCACCTGCTGGCGCGCTCGGAGAGCATCGTGTCGGAGGACGAGGAGCCGGAGGCGGCGACGGACGCGGTGCCGGGCCCCGAGCGCGTTCACATGACCTGGACCAAGGAGCGCTACGAGCGAGCTCACCGGCACGCCGCCGCCGCCGCCGCCGCCACGGCGCAGCAGGGGCGCGCCCAGGACGGCGCCGGCGCCGGCGTGGGGACGCCCGACGGCTTCCGCGACCTCCTCAACATTAAACCGTGAGCGCCGCCGCAGGGCCACAGGGCCGCACCGCGCCGCGCGGGGGCGAGTGCGCACCGCACCAGCGCACTACACCGCACCGGCGCACTACACCGCACCGGTGCACTACACCGCACCGGCGCACTGCCTTCTACTGCACCGCAGCATTGCACAGCGCCGCACCGGTGCACCGCGCCGCACCGCATCGCGCTGGACCACTGCACCACATCGCACCGCGCCGCACCACTGCATGGCACCAGAGCATCATGTTGCACCGCACCGCACCACCGCGTGGCACCAGAGCATCATGTTGCACCGCACCGCACCAGCGCGTGGCACCAGAGCATCATGTTGCACCGCACCACTGCACAGGCGACTCTCGCACCGACGACCTCGTTGGTTTCCTGGACGAGGGTCACAAGTGGAGCCGTCGTAAGTCGAAACCCCTTCGCACACCAATAAAACAGCAAAATTGACGACGCAAATAAATGTCAATAACCCCAACAATCATTTAACGTAACTTAACGTAACTTAACGTTACGTGTACAAACAATAGTTGAGTGAAAATCAAAAACTTCCGTAAAAAAAAAAATCCTTCGGTGTTTCTCTGCACGTGCATCGCGTTTCCTCTTGTCGGACAGCGGCAGCGAAAGGCGAAAACTTTTCTACATTTGTAGAAAATTAACAAGAAAGTGCTTTGCGAAGGAGACGCTGCTGCGCGGATTCGTCACCAATCCACTCGGCGTCGGTAGCAGTCGATACGAGTTTTGGTCGTTACCGTGGGGGTGTAACTTACTTTAAGAAAGGTCGTAAAAGTGGGGGGGGGGGGGGGGTGTCACCTGTGCCGCGACGCAGCCTTGCACCGCAGCGTCGCACCGCAGCGTCGCACTGCAGCGTCGCACCGCAGCGTCGCACCGGACTGCAGCGCCACGATACCCACGCCGCATCTTGCTCACGCACCACACCCACCGCTGCGCTGGAGCGTGGCTGCGGCCACCAAAGCTCAAACCTCGGACTACTAAGCAGCAGACGCGGATTCTCGCCGTGACTCCAGCGGCTCGCCCTCTCTCCGAGCCTTCGCCGGAAAACCGCGAACAAAAAAACATCGCCGCCCGACTCGGCGCCGTGCGGTCGCAGAAGACGACGAGGGACGACCCCCGACCATCCGTCGTTGAACTTTAACCTCTCTCCCCCCCCCCCCCCCCCCCGCCGCCCCCACCGCCGCCCCCGTGTCCGCCCCGGTGACCCGGCAGGACGCAGTCGAACGTGCGGCGCATGCACACGGCGGTGAAGCTCAACGAGGTGATCGTGAGCCGCTCGCACGACGCCCGCCTCGTCCTGCTCAACATGCCCGGCCCGCCCAAGAACCCCGACGGGGATGAGAATTGTATCCTTGCGACGTTCTGCGCGGCCCGAGCTGGTCGCCTCGATGCGGCCGCTGGCAGGGTTCACCGGCAGGGTTCACTGACGCGGCTGTCTTGGCTAAAACGCGTTGTACGCGTTGTTTTTAGATTTGCTGGCTGTCGGTTGTTTCGGCGGCACCGAAGACAGAGATCCCCCGTGTAGCCTTAACAGACTGTAGGGGCAAGTGCTGTTATTGAGCAGCACCTATGAAGGCCGGTACGGCACACGAGGGGGTGTGTGGCCGGCACCACGCCCCACCGCCTTTGTCTCCCCAGTAGCGATGTTTACACACCGCACCAGGTACTCATTTGAGGCTGACTCGACCTAGGGGCAGGCCCAGCACCGGTTCAGATAATCGTCACCGGTGTTGGCCGTGAGCGGGAATCGAACTCGGGTCGCCGAATTCGTAGCGCGGCATAGCGCCGACCGCTACGCCACCGCTTCCCCACCAGCAGCAGTTTCCCTTGACCCCTGACCCCACCTGAAGACATGGAGTTCCTGGAGGTGCTTACCGAGGGACTGGAGCGAGTGCTGCTCGTCCGAGGCGGCGGTCGGGAGGTCATCACCATCTACTCGTGAGGTCGCGGGTCACGAGGTCTCGGGCGGGGTCACGAGGTCTTCGACGCCTTCCCCCCCGCCATCTCCCGGCGCCGCCACGTTTCCCCCCCCCCCTCCCCCCTCCTCTTCCGCGACGCGTCTGCGCTCCGTCTCGTGTGTTTGGTACCGCGTCGTCGTAACGAGCTCTCGGCTTTAGGATTTCGCTGCTTCTGCTGCGGCCGACGATCCGCCGTCGAACGGTGGCTTTTCGATTCCGGTTTTTTTTCTTCTCCCCCCCGAAACTCCGTGCCTGTGTTGGCGGTCGCCGACTCTGAGAAAGCCGTCCGCCCCATCAGTTTGCCCGTCCGTTCGCGCGTCCGCACAGACGCGCGTCCGTTCGCGCGTCCGTCCGAATCGGCGCGGCAGACACCGGGTCGGATCTGACCGGGGCTCCTGTCTCTGCCAGGCCGCGGTACGTATGTTGAACTGCTCTCGCACCGCCGTACGTAGCCAACCGTGCTAATCGGAGGTGCGGGGGAAAGGCGACAACACTCGGCGCAAACCATACCGGCCGCCGCTACTCGCCCGTCTTTCAACAGCGCCCCGCGCGAAAATTGCTCTGTGATCGATTGGCGCGTGGGGGTCCTGTGGATGGGGGGGGAGGGCGGTGTGTTGTTGTCCGATCGTTGGCGTTGGTCTTGGTCTGGCTGGCCGGCCAGATCCTGGGGGAGAGGGGCGTTAGCCTGACGAAGGGAATGCTCTCTTTGTCGCTCGTCACACACATGTAAAAATACTTTTTATTTCTGAGCTGCTGCGCGCACACGTCGCCCGCCCAGATCCCCTACGTCGCTCGGCGTTCCGTCGCCGTGCGCCCGCGGGGGTCGCGGGGGTCGCGGGGGTCGCGGGGGTCGCGTGGGTCGCGGGGGTCGCGGGGGCTCTGCTATGTGAAGCAGTTCGTTAGTCGCGGGCGCAACCATCAGGTTTCTAAGATAATAATATATATTTTTAAAAAGTAACGACTGTGTAGTTCCTTGGTTAAGACGGCGCCAGTTCCGGCGTTGTTTGCGATGCGCGGTGGGCGGCGGCGGCGGCGGCGGCGGCGGCGGCGGCGGCGGCGGCGGCGGGGGGGGGGCGGCTGGCAGAGTTTTCTTCGCGGCCGTCGCGAGCGCTCGTTGTTTCAGGCTCGGCTCACGACGTCCGCCTGCCGCCGCCGCCCGCCGCCGTACTTTGATTCGTCCTTCCCAAATGCTTTGTGCGGCAGTTTGTTTAAGCGGCGGCAAACCCACGAGCGACTCTCGCGTCGCAACGTGACGCGGCTGATAGCTCGGCGTCAACTCCCAAAGGCGCGCGCCCTCCCAAACTCTCTACGTGCACTTCCCCTGCCCCCCCCCCAACGTTATTTATTTATTGTTACGCCGCTCGAAGGTCTCGGATGTTTTGAACGCCCCCGCGATGTTCAGTGGCGTCCTCCCCGCGAGAGGCGGCCGCTCCCCTCGCCCGTCCCTCGGCTGCTGGATGACTGATTGGGGTGGACGGAGATATCACGATAACAAAAAAAGCGAAAGGGGGGGGGGGGTGGCCCCTGTCGATGTGCCGGACTCGGAATCTCAAAATCTCAAAATCTTTACTTAGACCGCCGCAGGAGGAGGAATCCGATGAGCTGTGAAGCTTTTTTTCGCAGGTGCCGAGTATGGGCTGGTCAGCGAGTCACGAAGACGTCTGCCTGGCGTCTGTTACGCTGACTCGGTGCTCCTGCTAGTGGATGGTTGTCGGGGTTGGTATCAGTTGCAGGCCTGGCTACGGCTGGTGTGAGATTGGCTTGTAGGCTAGAGGCTAGGGTGTAGCGCCGGCGGCGGCGGCAGCAGCAGCAGCATCAGGTTGGAGAGGGATCAGGCCGCTGCTATCGCCTGCACGGGCCTGCTGGCGTGGGCCCGCTGGCGTGGGCCTGCTGGCGTGGGCCTGCTGGCGTGGGCCTGCTGGCGTGGGCCTGCTGGCGTGGGTGTACGATGGGGGGTTGGCACCAGTTGAGGGTCGGCCGTCTGTGTCAGCGCCGCGTAGCCCCACTTGGTTGCCGCCGCTGCCCATGGCAACGCTCCCGCCGTCTTTTGCGATCCGTCGTTTTCTCCACCTGCCCCCCGACCCGCCCCCCCCCACCCCCACGTTTGTTTTTGGTTTCTCACGGTGGCGACCTGCGGCGTTTTGTTTTTGTCGCGGCGTGCCGAGGAGGGAACCTCGCAAGCGGCTCCGGCCAAAGTGCGTTTACGCCGGACGCAAAAAGGGCACGGGGCAGGCGAGGGGATCGCGAGCCTCCCGTTGCCAGTCGCACTTTCCAGCGTTGGCAAGTGGCCTTCTCATTACTTAAGGGGGGTGAGGGGGGGGGGTGACCTGTCCGGCTGTGGGCTGGCCTCGCCCTCGTTGGGGATCGTCGGCGGCGGTGCGGCGTTGCTGCTTGCGCGCCGCCGATGCTCCGTGGATTGCCGCCGGTCGATTTGTAAAAGAAATGAAGCCGCCGCTCCTGGCGCGCAGTTGAGCGGGGGCCGCGCCGCGCCGTGCCGACGATCCCCGAGAAGGGCGAAACCTGCGCCACAATCTGAACCGTGAGGCGCGGCCGCGGAGGGGTGGCGGGCGAGGTGGCCTCGGTTCGCGCGCTGTGCCACGATTCCAGCGGCTCGTCACGCTCCGATGTGGGAAGGCCGGTGGAGGCGCGCCGAGGGTTGTTGGATCTCAGACGCGTTCGCGATGCTCCCCCCCCCCCCCCCCGCAGCCGTGGGCGTCGGCCGCCATCTCCTGGCTTGCCGCGGGCCCCGACTCGGCAGGCCTCGGTGCGAGCCTCGGGGGAGCCCCGACGGCCAGGACGGCACGCGCGGTAACCCCGGCACGCGCGGTAACCCCGGCGGACGCCCCGCCGCAGGCTCAGGTGGATGCGCAGCGGGGTCGGCACTTAACCACGAACAAAAACGCACGAAGCTTGAATGACGTCGGACTTGAGATGTGAAATGCTGCGCACTAAAGAGACGAAAGTGAAACGTCGGAGGGGTTTCCGATTCGACGTCGGTGCACGTTTTAGGCTTTTCGAAGGCTTGGCGGAGTAAACCGGGAGCCCGAACTTTACCCCCCCCCCCGACCCCCGGCGGGTCTTGATGCGGCCCACGTGACGACGACGACGTTACCCCCCCCCACCCCTCCACGCCCTCCGTCTGGACTCGAGTGATTGGGAGCGTGCCGTTGCTCTCGCTGCGATTCGTACACGCGCTGCGCTTCCTGTTGCGACCACGTTTTGTTCGTTGAAAAAGACGCCCCCCCCGCGGCCGCCGTTTTTGGACGGGGGGGTTTGTTCGCGGCCGTTTCGCGGCCGGTCTCGTCGGCGAACCGAACGTCCCCCAGCCTTCTCACCCGAGTGTAATTATTTTTTTTGTTTTCAAATTTTTTTAAAATTTTTTTGCCGCCGTCGGAGCTGCCACAGCACAACCGCCAAAAAACCTTCGCGGCAGAGTCCGCGGCCGGCCACATCGCCAGCGACGGGGCCGGCTCGAGTTGGTTTTTTTTGGGCCGTTTTGTCGGCACGCGTGTCCGGCCCGTGCAGCGTAGTTGCCCCGCTTGCTGTGCGCCCTGCGTTGCTGCGCAAAGGGATGGGCTTTGGCGGCGCTGCTGGTCGCGACGTTTAGTGAACCGGGCATTTATTTTTTTTGCGGCTTGCAACGCCAGCCGCGATGTTATGGGCAGTGGGGAAAAAACCTTTCGCGGTAACAAACTAAATTTTCAAAGAACAAAAATGTATAGAGGATGGCGAGAGAACTCGGGGACCAGGAAAGTTGCATCAATTTGTTCTGCTGTCCCATTGCACTTTTTAGTTATGCTGATTTTTTTTATTTTTTTTAATGCTATTTTTTTCTGTCTTTGCGCCAACACGCAAGCGCCCGCGGCGTGACCCGCCACGCTGCAGTGCCGGGTCGGCTGCGGTCCTGTTTGTCCGTGCGTAGGTCTCGTCGCCTCCGGCTGCGGCTGCGGCCGTTCGTCTGTGCCGTGTTCGCGAGACTTGACGGGAAGGCCTCCGCACAGGCATCGAGTTAGTCCACGAGTCGAGGGCGGGCGTCTCACTCGTCCGGTACCACCCGACGTGGGGCATCGCTTGCGTGGTTCCTACTTCCTCTCCGCGTGGCCAATCACGTGCCTCGCCGTTTGAAATGAGCGGGGTTGGCGAATCATTTGTAGCCAGTTATAGAGATGGGTCCTGCGCGAGCTTCGCTACCTCAGCTCGTACCAAATCTCCGCACTGTCGGGACTAAGCGAGCGGTGAACGCAACGGCAAATTTGAACGTTGGCGTCTTCGTAATCGCAGCGAGCAATAACCAACAGGGTAATAACCGCGTGGCCCAGAGGTTGACGCGTCGCCACAAGTGCCCAGCGATTCATGCGGGGGCATTTACCAAAGCGTGCAGTCTCCTCCTCCCGTAACGCAGACCTTAAAGACTTCCCGCCACCCCCGCCGGCTGTCCTCGTTATCGTGGTCCCTGAGGACGTTCACCGTGTCGGAATCACACAATGCGAACGATTTATTTATAACGGAGGAATCTGAAGAGCTATGAAGCTCTACCTCCCCCCCGTCCCCCCTGGAGGGTGGAGAGACGAGAAAGTGTCCCCCCCCCACAACAGGGCCTGCGTGTGTGTGCGCGTGTGTGTGCGTGTGTGTGTGTGCGTGTGCGTGCGCGTGTGTGAGTGTGCGCGTGTGTGTGTGGTGTGTGCGTGTGTGTGTGTGCGCGTGCGTGTGTGTGCGATAGTGTAGTGGTTAGCGCGCTGCGCTATGAACCTGGCGACCCGGGTTCGATTCCCGCTCACGGCCAACACCAGTGACGATTATCTGAACCGGTCCCGGGCCTCCCCTAGGTCGACTCAGCCTCAAATGAGTACCTGGTGCGGTGTGTAAACATCGTCACTAGGGAGACAAAGGCGGTCGGGCGTGGTGCTGGCCACCCACCCCCTCGTGTACCGTTCCGGCCTTCATAGGTGCTCGCTAACAGCACTTGCCCCTACAGTCTGTTAAGGCTATACGGGGGATCTTTGTCTTTTGTGTGCGCGTGCGTGTGTGTGTGTGTGCGTGTGTGTGCGTGCGTGTGTGTGCGTGTGTGTGTGTGCGTGTGTGCGCGAGCGCGTTTGTTTTTCCTTGTGTCGCGAATAAGGTGGGCGGCCGTGGCCTCGTAGCCCAATTGTGGTGGAGTGACCCGCGGCAACGGCGCAGGGGTTAAATTCGCTCGTCGGCGTCCCACCACTCGCGGCCAGGCCCCCCCCCCCTCCGCCTCGCGGGGTGAGCGGTGAGCACCGTCCCTCCGTGGCGTCGCCCGCGGTTGGGGGGGCAAATCAAAATGTAAAATCGACTACTCGCAGCGCGCCCGCGATATCGGCGGTAAGGACGCGTCTGTCCGTCCGCGTTTCCGCCCCGGCGCATTTGAGAAGGGCGTTTTTGATCTTGCGGATTCGCAATGCGGCCCCGTGTGTCACTTGGTTTCTGAAAGCAGCCCTTCGTTTTTAGATCCTCCGCTGGACGAGGGCCTCCCACCTCCACCACAACCCCCTCCCCACCTATGCAGTGCAGGTTGTGGATGATTGTATGACCGTACTTCAGCGTGCTGCATCGTGGTTGGTGGTGAAAGGGCCGGGGTGTGGTGCATAGACGTGTACAGTACAACAATGGTTTTGTCACACTGCCCTTGGTGGAACGCTGTCGGTATTGGAACATTTTTTTAAAGTCAAGTTTTAATTGTAATGCCTTTTTTTTTACTTACGACAATTTTTACGATGTTTATTTTTTAAAAAAATGGGAATTTTTTTTTTTGCAATACGGTCGCGAATTTTCGACCAGGAGCAGGGGGGAGGGGGAGTGGGGGACCCTACGGACCCCACGGGGACCCCACGGACCCCACGGGGACCCCACGGACCCCACGGGGACCCCACGGGGACCCCACGGACCCCACACCTTCGTGTCTCGAGGCCCCACGGCCCACGCGAGGTCCCTCCGGCTCAGAAGCGGCCCACAGGACGTCGCCGCCGCAGCCACCGCAGCCACCGCACCTCCTCTCCGCGAGCTCGTCAGCAGCACTCATCGGGGGGATAATCGCGACCCGGCAACCGTTCCGCGGCGCGAATTCCTCACCGCCCTCTCCGGTCACTTCCGTCATCGCCAGGGCCTGACTCGCGTGCGCGTCACTACAGCTGGGTGACACACGGGGGTGGGGGGGTGGGGGAGGGCGCGTGGTGGTCGCGCACACCGCCCCAGGATTTGGGAGACTCCCAACTCGGTGCCGGCCGCGGTCGGCAAGAGGATTCCTCCTCGCTCCCCGTCGAGGAATATTTCGAGAGGCGTGCCGTGCGGTTCGTTTGCAGGACGGGGTGACGGACGTGCTAAGCGGGGGCGGAGGATCTTTAACTTTCGCAAGGAGGCGGTGGAAATGTTGATGAGCGAGCGTGCGTGCGTGCGTCTGTCCGTGCGTGCGAGCGAGCGGGGGGGCGGTCGCTCCGGCCGGCTTTGTCCACGTGCTTCGGTGTCGCCGTGTTGGTTTTAGCACGTTGTTGTCGTTTCGTGTGATGTCGTTTTGTAAGTACAGTACAGTATATATATTTTTACAGATTTTTAGTGCCGTCGTCGCCGTGCGTCCGCTTCTCTCCGTTGAGCATTTTGAAAGAAAAACCTAAAATAAAATAAAAATTCCTCCACCCCCTTTGTGTGTTTAGGATTTTCTTTCTTTAAATCGAGTTTCAGATTTCTGGGATGGTTCGATGTGTGCGCTTCTGTCTCGTCGCCTGCGTGCCTGTGTGTCTGTCACTGTATAACCGTGCGCCTGTGTGTCTGCCACTGTGTATAACCGTGTGCCTGTGTGTCTGCCACTGTGTATAACCGTGCGCCTGTGTGTCTGTCACTGTGTATAACCGTGCGCCTGTGTGTCTGTCACTGTGTATAACCGTGCGCCTGTGTGTCTGCCACTGTGTATAACCGTGTGCCTGTGTGTCTGTCACTGTGTATAACCGTGTGCCTGTGTGTCTGTCACTGTGTATAACCGTGCGCCTGTGTGTCTGTCACTGTGTATAACCGTGCGCCTGTGTGTCTGTCACTGTGTATAACCGTGCGCCTGTGTGTCTGCCACTGTGTATAACCGTGCGCCTGTGTGTCTGCCACTGTGTATAACCGTGTGCCTGTGTGTCTGTCACTGTGTATAACCGTGTGCCTGTGTGTCTGTCACTGTGTATAACCGTGCGCCTGTGTCTCTGTCACTGTGTATAACCGTGCGCCTGTGTGTCTGCCACTGTGTATAACCGTGCGCCTGTGTGTCTGCCACTGTGTATAACCGTGCGCCTGTGTGTCTGTCACTGTGTATAACCGTGCGCCTGTGTCTGCCACTGTGTATAACCGTGTGCCTGTGTGTCTGCCACTGTGTATAACTGTGTGCCTGTGTGTCTGTCACTGTGTATAACCGTGCACCTGTGTGTCTGCCACTGTGTATAACCGTGTGCCTGTGTGTCTGCCACTGTGTATAACTGTGTGCCTGTGTGTCTGTCACTGTGTATAACTGTGTGCCTGTGTGTCTGCCACTGTGTATAACCGTGTGCCTGTGTCTCTGTCACTGTGTATAACCGTGCGCCTGTGTGTCTGCCACTGTGTATAACCGTGCGCCTGTGTGTCTGCCACTGTGTATAACCGTGCGCCTGTGTGTCTGCCACTGTGTATAACCGTGTGCCTGTGTGTCTGCCACTGTGTATAACCGTGTGCCTGTGTGTCTGTCACTGTGTATAACCGTGCGCCTGTGTGTCTGCCACTGTGTATAACCGTGTGCCTGTGTGTCTGCCACTGTGTATAACTGTGTGCCTGTGTGTCTGTCACTGTGTATAACCGTGCGCCTGTGTGTCTGTCACTGTGTAATACCGTGCGCCTGTGTGTCTGCCACTGTGTAATACCGTGCGCCTGTGTGTCTGTCACTGTGTATAACCGTGCGCCTGTGTGTCTGTCACTGTGTATAACCGTGTGCCTGTGTGTCTGTCACTGTATAACCGTGCGCCTGTGTGTCTGTCACTGTGTATAACCGTGTGCCTGTGTGTCTGTCACTGTGTATAACTGTGCGCCTGTGTGTCTGCCACTGTGTATAACCGTGTGCCTGTGTGTCTGCCACTGTGTATAACCGTGCGCCTGTGTGTCTGCCACTGTGTATAACCGTGCGCCTGTGTGTCTGTCACTGTGTATAACCGTGCGCCTGTGTGTCTGTCACTGTGTATAACCGTGCGCCTGTGTGTCTGTCACTGTGTATAACCGTGTGCCTGTGTGTCTGTCACTGTGTATAACCGTGCGCCGGTGTGTCTGTCACTGTGTATAACCGTGCGCCTGTGTGTCTGTCACTGTGTATAACCGTGCGCCTGTGTGTCTGTCACTGTGTATAACCGTGTGCCTGTGTGTCTGTCACTGTATAACCGTGCGCCTGTGTGTCTGTCACTGTGTATAACCGTGTGCCTGTGTGTCTGTCACTGTGTATAACTGTGCGCCTGTGTGTCTGCCACTGTGTATAACCGTGTGCCTGTGTGTCTGCCACTGTGTATAACCGTGCGCCTGTGTGTCTGCCACTGTGTATAACCGTGCGCCTGTGTGTCTGGCACTGTGTATAACCGTGCGCCTGTGTGTCTGTCACTGTGTATAACCGTGCGCCTGTGTGTCTGTCACTGTGTATAACCGTGTGCCTGTGTGTCTGTC